TAATAGATCGGACCAGACTGGCACTGAATTTTTTTTTTTTTTTTGCTAGCATAGGAAAACTGGCATCAAAATGGTAATTTCAGTCGTCATTCATTAGTGTCACTCTACAAAGCTCATGAAATGAAACCACGCTGACCAGCAAAATAAATGTGAAACTTTGAGTCCTATAGTTAAAAATTGCATACTGATACTTACTAACTGAGCAAATTTATCCATTTCCTAATTAACTCCAAATATTTGTGACAAATATTATTGTACATACGAAAATGATTGGTGATGCCGAGAGCTGAAGCCAAAACTTATCTAGGTTTGATTGAAGTGCAAGCATTATCTTTTCCTGGTACTGAGATTAGAATGTCGAGAGTGAAAAATGGCAGGCATGATACACATAACAAAATGCTTTATCTATGTCTGAATAAGGTATACTACTAGAGCGTGGACCAAAATTTGAAGCTTCATTATTTGAGCATACTATTTCACTCCAGGTAGGTTAAAAAATAAGATCGTCATGGTCAACCTAAATTATTTTGTCGGACCGAGCTGGTGCTGGAATGAAAGAATTCAATAGTATTGTCTGAGCATGAGCTAACCTGAATTTGACTCAGTTTCTTTGGAAAAAGCAGGTCCTTTTACTGTGGTCAATGACAATGATGGATCACCTCACCCGAATTACCATCTAGGAAACCTGTAGTGTACCAATCAGCATGCAAAGGAATGAAACAAGGCCAAATTTAAACCACAATCTTGCTCGTCATTACTTAGGCAGTATAGCAGTCAAGTAATGGATATCGAAATTATATGTGTACTGTGCTTTAAGACATATCAGATCATACAGGGAAATGCCAACAATTAATGACCATAAGTTGTGAAGTGTAATTACGTGCCACACATACCAAATTGCTTTATGTATTTCTGAATGAGGTATACTACTGGAGCATAGAGCCAAATCTGAAGCTTCATTATTTGAGCATATTATTTCACTCCAGGTAAGTAAAAAATAAGATCATCATGATCAACTTGAATAATTTTATAAAACTTAGCTGGTGCTGGACTACCACGAAGCTACCCAATCAAGAAACATCATCCCAAGTCCTAGCTCTTTCACTATTACCATCTTGCACAGAGAGAAGAGAAAGGAATACTCACTGCCATCTCCATTCCTTTTCCTAGTAAACCCCACAGAGCTTCCTCCACATGAGCTTTGTCAGAATTTGTGAATACCTGCAGTAATCAAATGTAGGCTAATAAAAATGCTCTCTGCGACCATTTTTCCAAACATACCATTTCATAATACAGCATGAGTTACCTTAAGGCCTGCCATTGTAGTGCCATATTCCTTGTACAAGTCCAGGCACAAATCTGCAATTTGGCATTCTTCAAACATTCAAATCATTCGTTGACTATCTGAAAATTCAAGAAAACAACAATTAACCAAAGACATGATATTTCATTTCATTGAATCATTAAAGTGAGTGCAGCTTTGCTTTACCTTCAAAACAATAGGTCCACCTGCATTTTATGGACGCAGTTGACACCAGGTAAGAGTGTAAGACATTTTACAGAAATTTGACAATGTTTGATTCTTTTCAATCATAGCAAAGAACATCAAAAAGAAGATCCAGATCAGGAACCAAAAAAACAGAACAATTGGTGGTCCCAATATCAGGAAATTCAAAAAGAAGAAATTCATGACCCCAGTTACTTCAGTACTTATCAAACACTGCAAGTTGCCAATTTTCACACATATATATTCCTACACAATTGGAGATATACTTATTTCTTATTTGAAAGCAAGGACAGAATCTGCAGGCATGGTACTTGGAGAATGGATCTGGGCACATACCATTGGATTCCTGGAGGATGGGTGCAGCAGCTCATCTCGCTTCGAATTCCTGGCGGAGGAGGGCAGCAACTCGTCGTGATTCCTTGAGGAGGGCCGGAGAGGGGCAGCATCTCGTCCCGATCGACCTACTGCGCAGGGACGGTATGACCTCCGAACCAATAGCAATCATTATCAATAAACAAAAAGCAAGGCACACAAACCTAGATGAGGAGCGCATCCATGGCCGTCTGCTATGGCGCCACCGCCCTCGATCCGACGAGGAGACGACGGTTCCAGACATGGGGGCACTGGATCTAGCTGCACACGGCATAGGGAGAGAGAGAGAGAGGCGAGGGTAGGCTCGGCGCTGGGCGCTCGTGACCTCTAGGGTTTCCTGTAGCACAAGACCGCACGCAGAGTAGAGGGAGGAGGTGGCGCTAGGGAGGTAGCCACGGCAGCCACCGGCAGGGCCCGGTCGTGTCGCAGAGGAGGAGGCGCGCGTGGAGGGAGGCGGCCTTGTACCCGGCGGTGGCGGCTCCAGAGCACGCGTAGGCAGCTGCTCCCTGCCCACGGCGATGAGCCTGGTGATGTCCTTGCCCTCCATGATGGCGAAGAGTAGGTCGAGGCGGTCCTCCACCACGGCACTGACAGAGCTCAGGATGCGGCGCACGTCGTCCTCGGTCGAGAGCGCCCTGTCGTGGCCTCGCGTCGCCCGATGGTGCCCCGTCCGCCGTGGCCTCCTGACGCCTGGAGGCGGCGCGCCTACAGCGGCCTCGCGTCAACCGGCGGCGGCTAGGGTTACACAAAGGACGAGGAGTTGCGTGGGGGGCGAGCGCGGGCGAGGGCACCAGGAGTGGGGGCGCGGGCCGGAGAGGCGTCGGTGCGAGGAGGTCCCACCTGCGGCGCCAGCGGGATCGCAGGCGTGGGTAGACGGACGAACCAAAACAAATGTCGCACGAAAAAAATGTCCACGCTTTGTTCTTTTTAGTTGTAGGAGATTACAGAGTATTACTCTCTTAGTTGGGTTGGGCCAGGCATGGTAGGACCATACCCGTGCAGCCCATTAGGTCCGCCCGTGCCCCTGAAAATCTTTCGACTAGATACTAACCCTCTCCCGCGCTATGAACGCATGCACGTAAACCCTACCCTTATGAGTATCTTTGAAGACTGGGCCGACAAATCCTCGACATTGACGAAGTTATCACAGACAAACACCTCGCTGTCAACGAGAACGTCGCTTACGACTGAAAGCACAACGCTGTTAAATCCTCGATTATTCGCTCCCACGGGGAGTTAAACCCAGGACCTGAGATGCTACTGAGGCTCTTGTAACCACTATACAAGCCCTTTCGCAAGTATTTATATTTAAAAACTAGTGGATTGAAATAGAATTTTGAGACTCATAGAAATGATTTATTATCCTGTTCAAACTTGGAAGTAAATTTGCTTTTAACGAAGCACCATAAGCTGTATTACTTTTCCCTTTTAACCATAATCTTGTAACCATGGTCATAGATGATCAAATGCTGCTGCTGATAGATGAAAAATATTGTTTTTATTTCATTTTCATCGTGTGTATTCAACGCAATAATTTAAGTACGTAGTCTTTCAATTGTGGAACACGTTTATATCGTAAATAATTGTGGTTACTCTGGTTTTTGTTTTGTTGAGTTAGATACAAGATGATTCTGCATATGCATACCGGTTTATGGTATCCAAGAAATTGTATTATGTACCAATTGAGCTTATTTTGGAATTGCGGATCTCTTCTCATTGCTTTGCCTATTTGCTGTAGTGAGCTTGGCTTCCTTTTCTGACCAGTTGGTTTGATGGTAACAAAAAGGTATTCATGGATATCCACCTGTTTGATTTTTGTTTTGGTGGTAACAAGAATGTTGCGGAAATGAGCTAGAGTTCAAAGTGCATATGTCATATGATCCTCCATTGAAAACTGGTGCAAAGGATCACACTAACATGGCGTTCCAATCAGGTGAGTTTAGTTAATGTGCTTTTATCTAAAGATGAGATGTCCATGTCTATTGTTTCTGAACGAGTTTTTTTTTTCCATCATTTGTAGGTACAGCATGACTTGGATTCTTTGCAAGGCATGGGAAAGCTAAGTGCACACGTGGAACTGTTGGATGATGTCTGTTGAGTTGACCCTAGTTAGGAAAAATGTGAGCAAATATTGTTGCAAGGAAATTGCCTCGGCAATGTGTCCCCAAGTTCTGTTGTACCCTATCCGTTACAATTACCCATTCCAAATTATAAGTTGTATTCGGTTTATCATAAGGCAAACTTCTTTAGCTTTGAGCAAATTAATAGGAAATTGTACAAACACCTACAACATCAAATAAGATTCATTGTATGCACCATGAAATATATTTTAATAGTATATATATTTGATATTTTTTATGTTTATATTTTTTCTATAAACTTGATGAAAGCTAAAAAAGCTTGAGTTAGGATATCTACAACTTACAATTTGGAACAAAAATAGTAATTAGGAATGTGCGGAAAAGTAGAAATAAAATCCACTTACCTAGCAGTCAATTTTACTCCAATTCCGAGTGCATGAGTTACTCTATCAATTATTTGCATTTGATCAATGCTACAACAAAATTTCCAGAGGTACAAATGGCAGGAAAAGTGATGTTCATGGTAACTGTGAATTCAAATCATTAAAACAATCATAAACGTTTCAATAGTGAGAGTAGCTTAGAGCAACTTTAGCAGGTCCATCCTACGTTTGTGGTTGAGGCTTGAGAGCAGGCAGTGACAAGTGAGGACAGTACATTGCGGCTGAGGGAGCGTGGTGGGGGACGAGAGCAGGGAAATGGGAAATAGGATATGTGAGAAAAATAGAAAAAGACAAGTTAGGCCCTCTAGAAAACTAAGCAACCAAAAGCAGAAGTAAAAAGTCCCAAATAAAAAATATGAGCCCTGATTTAGGGCTATTGCTGGAGTTGCTTACTATAGTTCTAAACGAGGTTCTCTGCACATCATTCTCAACAGGTTCTGCAGTCCGTACGAGCTGTTCGGCTGATGGTTTCTGCGGCTGATAAGCCGGCCGAAGCTGATTTGTTGTGAGAGAAAAACACTGTTCCATGGCTGCTGCCAGTCTACGATAGTACTCAGAAGTCAGAACATTGGAGTACAATCTCGTTTCTTAGACCATTTACACTGCTGCGCCAGGATCACTGATATCACCCAGAAAGTCATCCTTTATAGTGCCAATGCAAAACTGCAACACCAGGGCTTGGACCGTTAGAACATTGCACAGGTATAACATTGAACTGATAACAAGGCACTAAGTAATTCAAATGCACAATGATGTTTGGTAATGAAAACATCCCTTCAGCTATATGCTTTTAGCGAGGGGTAAACAATAAATTTCTTGGCACGAGAAGATGTAGTGCATACAAAAATCTTCTAGGCTAGTGCTAAACAAGAGTATCAGACTAGAATATCTAAGGCCTAGTCAGTTCCAAACTAAGATACAGGGCAGGAACATCACGTTTTTATGTGTGACAAAAGAACAGCACAATAAGCATGCCTACATTCATGGCTGATTAAACTGGCATTAATCAAGGTTATTATTTACAAGACATAAGTTCTTTGTTGTTCACACAATCTTTTTTTTTATTTCTTGTTCATACAATCTTAGAAAAGAATATTAGAAAAGCGACTGCAAAATGTTCTGTGTGTTCACACGATGTTGTCGGAAAAAATGCAATCATTCAGTGGCACCGCAAAACTTGTGATGTGGTTGCCATCTGCAGGTCTATACTCAAAAGATTGCAAAAAGAGCATTCAAAGTTGCATTTTACTGTAGACAACATAGACAGTAATAAGCTTACAGTTTCTGTAGCGTCGACACGAGTACCAATAATCTTCAGCCGCACCTCGCTCTCTTTTTGAATTTTCACCTGAGTAAACAAACAAGCAACTACCGATGAGGACACCAAAATGACTACATCAAGGAGCTTTGAAAGGAACAGTTGTGACTCACCATGATACCCAATACCCACACCTACTCTATTTTTGTTTCAAAATATCTCCATAGTAATTATTAATGCAACCACACACTGATGTAACATGCAGATTTAGCAAATGGATAAGTATATATATATATATATATATATATATATATATATGATAAAGCAATAATCCAAAAATCCTCAAGAGTAAACAATTCGCAAAGCATACGATGAAGCAATAACCAATGAATATCCATCAGAAATATAGTCTATGCTTACTGCAAACTTGATGAGCTTAAAAGTTATACTGCCTCCGTTTTTAAAGATATGGTGTTTTTAGTTCTTTTTTTTAACTAATTAACTTGCCCTAAATGTCATATTGTATTTTAAAAAGGAAGAAGCTTCTGCAGTAGTTACACATGATGAGAAGACTCATCCCTACTACTTATATATACAAAAGAGGCATACTGATCCATCAGAAGTTGTGTAGCTTGGCACATCTCCCGACTGGAACTCCATATCGTCTAGAATCAACTGCATTGCGATTGAATAGCACAGAGGGAAAAAAACATTACTCAACAAAACAGTATTGACTGGCATTAATAATTGAAGTTTAAACAAGATGTCTATGCTAGTATCCCGTGACAAAAAGCAGCCACGTATATTTATCAAAGTGATAAAGGACTAAAGGAGTAAGCAGAGCATAATTCCTAGAATGGTCAGAAAGAATCCTGAAACTTCTTTAAGCATTTGACACTGACTATGAAGCAACTCCGAGCAAGGCAAAATCACTCACATGGTTGGACACAAAGATCTGCACCGGTCCAGCCTCCGCAAAGAAGCCCATCTGCAGAGTGAATTACACACAAAGTTTAAACACCAAACCAATCCTCACAATCACATCCTCCAACACCAAGATCATCACCACCTAGCTAACCAGCACACCAATTCACATCCAATTCGAACGAAGCAAGCACAGCCCGAGCAGGGAGGCAAGTAGGGACCCACCTTGTTCACCATGGTGACGACAGCCTCGAGGATTTCGCCCTTGAAGGATCTGAAGACAACGCACTGGTACTTGACGGGGAAGGTGACATATCCCGTGCCTTCTCTGATAAGCCCCTTGCCGATGTCCTCCACACCGTGATCGCCACCACGAACCCGTGCCGCCCGCTGCAAGACAAGAGCGAGAGAAACCCGCATGCCATCTCAGCGCCGCCCAAGCCCTTCTCCTCGTAGCCTTAGCCAGGTTTAGGAGGGGGGATGGGAAACCCTACCTGCAGGTGCCCTCGACGTCCTTGATGAGCTTGGATACATGCTTGTCGCGGAGGTGTGGCCCGAAATGCCGCGGGTGCAGCTGCATGTTCCGCTCCAGCACGATGTGGAAGAACATCTTGCTCCGCTCCAGTGGTGGACCTGGATAGATTTTTTTTATAGGGTATGTACGACCAAAATTTTCACATGTCATATGAAATAATCTATTTAGCAATTCCGCAAGAACCATCTATTAATTCCATTTAGCAATTCAGTAAGAGCATCTCCAATAGTCTTTCTAAATCTTACTCTCTAAATTATCATTTGGAGAGTTATTTTTTGCGTAAAAGTCGCTTTCTATATATTTTCATTCCCCAACAGTTCTTCTATATCTCATACGTATAGAGAGCTATTCTCATCTTCTATTTTTTGCTAGCGAAAAATCAAAAATGGAAGATGGTTATATTTGGATAACCATTTAGAGAAACTGTTGGAGGACAATTTTTCACTAAAATATGTATTCCTAGCATTTAGGAAGGATACGAAGAGTTTTTTGGTGATGCTTAAGAACCATCTATTAATTCGGTAAAGTACTATAAAAAATGGTCGCCAATTCAGCATACAAATACAAATTTCTACTGCAGACAGCTATAAAGCCACATCAATCGAATTAATTTGAGGGAAAATTGAACAACAACCAGCTAACTAAATTAGGTCGGAGGAAACAGGAAAATTACGCCCCATCGCACGGGCACGGCCGCAGGGGCCGCGGTTGCCGGGCGGCCGAAGCAGCTGCGCAGTGAGCAGGGGCCGACTGGGCGGCCGGTGGTGGTGGAGGACGGGGACACCGGCCGCCGCCGCCAACGCCAGGAAAGGAGTCGCCAAGTCGGGCGACGCAGAATTCCATGGGGCGTCGAGTGGAAAGGAGGGAAGCGTCGTCCAATTTCTTTTCACGTAGTATTCGGAGTGGAAAAAATCAACTTAAGCCCCACCTTTCATATATGGGTCTACTTCACCCCCAACTATGAAACCGTCTGTTTTACCCCTGAACTTTCCAAAACCGTATATTTTACCCCCCGGGCAGTTTTTACAGCATGGTGCTACAGTAACAGTGGGGTTGCTATAGTAACGATGGGTTTGCTAAAGTGTCGGTGGGTTTGAATTTTTTTCGGTGAATTTTTGAAAAATCATAGAAAAATCATAAAATGAAAAAACTAATTTTATTGGACTCTACATGAGTAGATCTACACAGTGAATATATAATACGGTATGCTTTAGTACAAAATTTGTATTGTAGCTTTAGATTAATTGGAAAATTTAATTTTGTCTGTAATTAATTGAAATAATTTATAGCTGCAGCTTTTATGGTCTAATTGTGGTGAAATTTTTATGGTACGCTAATTATTGTATGCTTGAACTATAGCAAAAATTTCGTACTCATTGGACTATGTATAACTTAGTTATAGATAAATTCTAATTAATTACAGAAAAAATTGGATTTTCCAATTAATCTAAAGCTACAAAAAAAAATTTGTACTAAAGCATACCGTATTATATATTCATTGTGTAGATCTACTCATGTGGAGTCCAATAAAATTAGATTTTTTATTTTATGATTTTTCTATGATTTTTCAAAAATTCACCGAAAATAAATAAAAAAAGAAAATTCAAACCCACCGGAACTGTAGCAAACCCATCGTTACTGTAGCAAAAATAAAAAAGGAAAGTCAAACCCAATGGCACTGTAGCAACCCATCGTGACTGTAGCAAACCCGCTTTCAAAAACCGTCCGGGGGTAAAATAGACGGTTTTGGAAAGTTCAGGGGGTAAAACAGACGGATTCATAGTTGGGGGTGAAGTAGACCATGTATGAAAGGTGGAGGGGTTAAGTAGACTTTTTCTATTCGGAGTGGTATTTAACTTTTTACCGTTATAATGGATGTCACATCTCCATATAGCATTCTTAAAATTACATCTACATATTTAACCTTGACAGAGAGCATTTGATATATTCTTGCTATTTTCGCTGACGTGGCACGTCAACTCGACCTGACAGCATAGACCGGTCACAAAAAATGATATTTTTGCCCCTCATCTATTTCTTCTATCTCTGTCCCTTCCTCGCTCGAGCTCCGACCATGGCCGACGATGGGGTCCATGGCGACGGCTGACAGGACATAGGGGAAGTTGGGGGCGAGGCAGCCGGGACCACTGCCTGCAGGTCCACGGCCGCACCCGCCGCCGCCGACGAACATGGCGGCACCTAGAGCACGGGCAGGAGCTCGAGGCCGATGTGGTGCCCGCTGAGGACGAGGTCGGCGAGCTCGAGGCGGGGCCTCTCACCTCCTCCGCGGCGGCCCGGTTGACCCACAGGCCCCTGAGGATGGTTTGGGAGGAGGAGTTCCCAACGGCGGCCTCGAACTGGTCCGTTGTGGCAATGACAACATCGGGGGGCGAGCGCGGGGGACCTCCCTCGTGGACCGCATGGCGCGCACGGCCGTTGGGGCGCGTGAAGAGCTCCCTGGCGGTTGCATCAAAGTCGGGTGCGGAGGCCGCGAGGAATGCCTCGACGGCGATGTGGGCGGCGGCGATGGGGGAGGCGACGGTGGAGGGGAGGCGGGGAGCAAGGCTAGGAGGTTGATGATTTTAAGACAGGATGCGGAGACTGGGGTGGCGGCGAGCTAGCGGAGGAGGACCGCGCGGCGGAGGCGCGGGGTCGGGTTGGAGGGAGAGGAGCGCTTCGGCGGGGACGGAGGGGTCACCCAGGACGTGGTCCAGGATGAGGGTCGCCTTCGCCGTCGGCCATGGCCGGAGCTCGAGCGAGAAAGGCATAGAGATAGAAGAAATAGATGAGGGGCAAAAATGTCATTTCCCATGGCCAGTCTATGCTGTCAGGTCGAGTTGGCGTGCCACGTCAGCGAAAATGGCAAGAATGCATCAAATGCTCTCTCGATGATAAATATGTATAAGCAATTTTAAAAGTGCTATCTGAAAATTTGACATCCGTTATAATATAAAAAAAGATAAATATCCCTCTATTTTTCAGGTGGCTATACGACGTATCCTGCAACCCACAGAGGCTGAAGCTTAATGCATCGTCGCTGGCAGCTAAACTTGCTGCTGCAATGAATGTCCAAAGACCTGTCTTTATTATATACTATCAAAATTGCTCGTGCGTGGCGACGGGAGGTGTATAAAAATTATTATAGTATTTATCGTCCCAAACTAAAAAAATTAACATTAGAAAATGTATCATCAAAATATAATACAAAACATCAAATTATTATGGGACCGTTCGGCTGCTCACAATTTCAGCCAGAATTCACTGTACGTGGATGAAAAACACTGTTCACGCTCTCATAATTTCATCCAGATTCCTCCAAATTCCTCAAAGCGAACATGTTCTATGTCCTGTGCTGCAGAAAAAATAAACTCAATTTTTTTCTCTAGCCATCCTTATCCACTCGTTTGTCTCACTTAATAGCTCATCGTCCCATCTATTTTGTTCTACTCTTTGCCAGCAGATGTTCCGCTCTCTTGGCCCCCGTTCGCTTGTCTGAAACTTAGCTGAAATTGACTGAAAAACACTGTTTTAGCTGAAATATTGTGAGAGAAAAATATTGTTCCAGCTGAAAAAAAAAAGCCGAACAAGCTGAATTTAAGGTCAGCCGAACAGGGCCTGGTGTCTTTCAACCCCCTGGATTTAAGGTCAGTCGAACGGTCCTGGTGTCTTTCAACCCCCGTTTGATACAACTCCGTTTCACTGGTAGAGCAGCTTTTTGTCCACATTATCTAAAGGCACGGCTCCACTTGCCACCAAAGCCCAAAAGCAAATCCCACGGCGCCACCTCCACCGCTCTGCGCGCCCACGCATGTGCAAGCCTCATTCGAGGCGGCGTTGTTCCGAGCTCTGACCTCAGCTCCTCCTACACCTCCTACCTCGGCCTGGACCACGCCGTGTCTCCCCGCCCCACGCCGCCGTCGCTCGGCCACGTTTTTGCGCCGCCGGCTCCCTGCTCCAAGCCACCATCGACTGGCTTTAGCTTCTCCCCACGCGGCACCGCCGTCCTCGGTCGCGCCGATTTGCCTCTAGGGCAAATCGGATCTTGGCGCATGGTGGACTAACGCATGCGAGAGGGCGAGAGAGAGCCGCGACGCGCGAAGAAGGAAGATGTGATTCTCTCCATGACAGCAGCCATGGCAAAGGACGTTGCATCTTTCTGGGTACTATTCTTCCCGCAGTTTGATTCTGGCCATCACCATTGCACATTTGAAATTTGTGGGACTCAGTCAAAAACGGAAGCAGGAGCGACGGGTGTCGGATTTAGCATGTATTTTAAGGTTCGCAATATTGGGGTTTATTTAGACCTAGGGCGCGTCTGGTATATCTATGGCTTTCGTTAAAATAGCTTCACCGTGTGGCTTCTTCTATGAAACAACTTTTTATCTTTTCTATGAATCAACTTCTTTTTAGCTCCAACTTGTTTGGTAAAAAACACAGCTTCTCCAAGTCCTTAAAAAGATTAGAATTTCCATAGTATTCCTCCATTTTTTTCTTTTTTTCTTTTTTCCCTTTTATTTCTTTATTTATTTTCTTCCCTTGTCTCGTTCTTGTCCAGAACGGCACCCGCACCCCTCACTCGCTGCATCTCAGCGGCGTGCTCTTCTCCTCCGGCCCGCAACCAAGCGCCGCCTTCCTCTTCTTCTGACCAGCCTCCAACCACCCGCATCTCAGCGGCGTGGTCCGACCGTCGCCTGTCAACTGGTCCACCCCCTAAGCGCTCCGATGCGCGCTCCCGTGAACGACCGCATCGCCGAGGTTGTCAACGACCGTCGCTCTTCGCATGACCAGCCTCTGCAACCACCGTGGTGCGCCGCTCTCCTGTTGGCACGGCGCGCCGCAACCTCCAGCGGCCCGGATGCCAGTCCGACCGTCGCCGCATCGCCGT